GTGGACCCAAAACAGAGCCTTGGGGTACCCCAGAGAACAGATGAGTAGAATCTGACATGATTTGGTTTCTACAGACACTGTAACTTCTGTTAGAAAGGTACGATCTAAACCAGTCTAGACCAGTTCCAGAGATCCCCACCTGGTCACCAAGTCTGTTAATTAAGGTGTTATGATCAACAGAGTCAGAAGCTGCAGAAAGATCTAACAATACTAACACTGTGAACTCCCCGTTGTCTGCAGCCATCATGACGTCACTGGAAACTTTAAGCAGAGCTGTTTCTGCTGAACGCTTTTTACCAAAACCAGACTGGAATTTATCAAAACTCGAGGTGTAACAGTACTCTACAATCGTGTTTGGTTCGGTTCAGTGTTTTGAAGAGTTTGGTTCGATTAATTTTCGGGTTATTATTATTTTTATTTAATATCTGAAGCGGCTCCTATAGTGAGCAAAACCAGGTGTCATCACAGGCTACTGATCTAGGGGGATGTCTTTAATTATTTCACAGGTTATTTGTGCAGTTATGAGTGTCACGCTCATACAGACAAGTGTTGTATTTGACTGCTCCTGTTTGTATTTCTGCAGCGAGCCTTAAAACTCACCTCACTCCGCCCAGAGTTCCTTCTTATTAAATTATATTCTTATTATATTATACTCTATTAAATAACGAGCTTCCTCCGCACCGTATTTTTGTTTTAGGATATGAACTTTACTACAATTGTCCCAGCGGAGATGTTCAGCAGACGTGTTTGTTTACACTTTAGCCGCTGCGTGTCTGCATACTGTGAGACAAGGGAGGGAGGGGCGACGCGACAACGCTCCATTCAGCGTCTCTACAGGACGGTAGCAGCAACTGCCAGCTGGTTTGATCCGCTCTGAAAGGCCTTGAACAGAATTTGCAGATCACGTTTTTTAAACGGAGATCGAGCGCGTGCAGCCATTGTGCGTTACTCAATACAGCGTCCGTGCGGAAACTTGCCTAGGAACTTTTATCTGCTGCACTTAAGTCACGCAAATAAAAATTCATTATTTAAGTGAAGAAATTAACCAAAACGGTACGCAAGTGGACCGAACCAAAACGGTTCAACCCTCCCTCGTGAACCTTTACACCCCTAGTCAAAACTGATGTGTAATTCCAGAAAAGTAATCAGCTGATCCGCCACAACCTTTTACAATATTTTAGAGATGAAGGGTCATTTAGAAACGGGTCTGTGGTTTTTAGGCTGAGATGAGTCCAAACTTGTTTTTTTAAGGGAGGGTTCAACAACTGCATGTTTGAAAACAGATGGTACAGAGCCAGATTGTAGGGATAGATTAATGCAATCTACAAAGCTTGGGCCAGTTTGGTCAAACATCCTGATTAACAAGGTAGTAGGAATGAAATCAGCAGGGCATGAGGTTGGTTTCATGTGTTTCTGAATGAGGCAAATGACCTGGAAATCTACAGGAGTAAAGACAGACCATGGTTGGGAGGGAGGGGGTTGGATGGGGGGTAGGAAGTAGATGGGGGTGAAAAACTTGCCCTGATATTTCCGGATTAATTACCAAAGACTGCTAGAGACCTTGAGTAAACTGGCATGAGGGGCGTGAGGTGAAACAATCTGGTTTATGGTGTCAAACAGGACTTTAGTTGTTTTTGTTTACAGCAATCAGCTGAGCAAAGTAAGTGGCCCTGGAAGTTTTCACCGCCTCATTCAGAGATGTTATCAGTTCTTTAAGGTGCAGCCTGTGACTTTCTGATCTAGTCGACTTCCAACGGCTCTGGGCTCTGCAGCATGTCCTTCTGAAAATGTAAATGTTTCGATAAATCCAGGGACTTTTTCTCTTGCTAGAAAAAGTGATCTGTTTAACAGGAGCTATTTTATCTAAGATACTGCAGCGTTGTTTATCCAGTGACTGGATGAACAAGCTTGAATCATCACCCTGAACTGAGCTGCTGTCAGATAATCTAGAAAATCCATTCACTGCTGATTGATTAATGTTACGTCTCTTTGATTTTAGGTTGTGAGGGACAGATTCAACATTAGATAGGACATTAAAGAAAATGCAGCTGTGGTCACTCACATGAACCTCTTTAACATGTAAATGATTGATTTTTAGTCCCAAAGAGAAAACAAGATCTAAAGTAACGCCCAGTGTGTGTGTGGGGCCTGAAACGTGCTGCTTTAAGTTAAGACTCTGTGTATATGCTCTACTGCTGGGTTACTAGTAGGATCATTAATTAAGACCACAGCAAGACGTGACGGGCGTGGTGTGGTAAGCACAGAGAAATTTGGCCGACATATTTCATTGAAATGTACTAAATGCTCCTTAATAGTTATTGGGAGCTGCACTGGGAGACTTTCACACAACTTGTCTCGCTAACTCGAGTGCTAGCCGTCTAAGTGCTGTCTGCTAGGGGGCGGGATCTCTACATTTGGTGAGAGGATGGAGAATGAGGCATTCTGGCTTCAGTCGCTGCAGACAAATCTGTGTTCACTTAACTCAGTCACAGAGAAACAGACGAAGGGAGCACTTTACTTCATCAGCTGTAATCATCTGGGGCCTCATTCATAAAGCTTGCTTACACACAAAACGGGGTCGGAAAACTGCGTAAGCAACTTTCCACGCAAACTTTGGGATTTATGAAAGAAAACTTAGTGGAAAAATGTGCGCAACTTTAAGCTGACTAAGGACCTGGCTTACACACATGTTGGACACGGAGAGCACCTGCAGTGCTGCTGCTGAGAAGGATAACATTATGAATTCCTGCAGCATTATCACTTGTACTGCTTCATTTTCACACAGAACAAGACCCCCACCCCCCCACCCCCACACACACACACACACGCACACACACACGCGCACACAGCCTGAAGCGCAGAATACAGAATGCAGAATGTCAGCAGGGGGACATATTGAGACAGAACATCATGCGTCTGTGACGGTGTGTGTCCTGTCACCGTGACCCGATTGATCATCCGCCCTGGCTGCTTGAACAAGGGAGATCTCCGTTTGGGTGACTGGTTAGCGCGTGTGACTTTCACTCGGGAGTCTGGGGATCGAATCCCGATTGGACCATTTTTTTATATCCACCACAGATCTCTCTGAAGAACTCCCAACATTGACGGCTTCAGCAACGTTGTGCCACTCCGTGGATTTTCTCTTATTAGTTTTGCAAAAGCACTTCCTTTCATTTCTCCACCTCACCCACAGGTACCTCAACTTCTGCTTGTGAAATTGCGCTTCCTTGATCTGCCTTGATCTACGGTCGCCATGTCATTGGCGGAGCGCTGCAACAGCCGGCTTATGTATATGCATGAGACCCACAAGGCACTTTGCATTGACCATTTATGGCAGTAAGTGGGCGTGGTGAGGGGGCGGGGTGTGACTAAAAAGCAGCTCAGAAACATTCTCGTTAGTCTGCGATTTATGAAGCGGAGATTGCGTGCAGCTGTGCGTCCTCCATGTTTGATAGATCACACACCTGCTTGGCGTAAGTACTTTTTTTTGCTGAGCTTAAGTACGGTTTTAGTATGGATTCTACGCCATGTTTGATAAATGAGACCCCTGGATTTGTTGCCTCTGGCTTGTTTCTGTTTGTGTGTCTTTTGTTATGTTTATTTATTTATTTATGCACACATGTTGCAGGAGGATAGAAACCACTTGAGATGAGATTTCTGGTTTTTGAGTGGGTCCTCCGATCAACAACAACAAATTAAGAAGGAACCAGATGACCGCATTAGTAAGAAAAAACCAAGACCAAGAAAGCTAAACCAGACGCGCACATGGGCTGGATTTGGGTCACACACTTCTTTAAGTTGCTGTGGGCTGAGAATGTAACAGAATATTATAGTTTAACAGGATTTCGGTCAACTCCCCGGTTAGCAGGCCTGCAGAGACTACTGCTCATGAACTGTGTTACATTACAGCTGCAGATATAACTGAGAAACACAAGGAGGAAGGTGCTTCTGGCCTGAGGAAATCCAGAACATGGAGATTTAATGATCTTTGTTTGGTTTTAACAAGTGTTTTAAATCAGAGCATTGGTAATTGGAACACTGGTATCTTCAGTTTGCATGATGGTGGAACCACAAACATGTCGAGGCACACCGGCTGACTCCGGCCTCTGTTGCTGAAAAACGAAGCCACAGAATCAGGTTAACAGGTGCAGCTGGGGACCAGAGCAATGTGGGGCTGTAAGCCCCGCCCACTCACCCGGCTGAGAGCACCGCCCACTCGCTATTGCACAATCATGTTATTAAACATCAGCTAATAATTAACTTTTAGAAACATGAATGTTTGAACTAGCAGCATCAAGGAGAGCAGAAGTCAGCCAGTTTTCATTTCCTGAGTATCGGATCAGATCCAACCCGGCACCATCGTGTGATCATGTGATCATGAGCGTGAGCCAAGCCGAGGAGACTGCAGTCCTGCTTCTCTGGGCTGGGGGAGGTTTTATTGCACACAAGCTCTAAAAGTTAGGTGGACATTACAGTCTTTATATTCTCCAACTCTCTCCGATGATGTCATCTGGTACTGGCCCATCAGAGGAGTGGAATCTGTTGGGTCGCTCCCACATGACGCTGTGATAGGCCGATAGGCCTTCGGCTGACGTCAAACGTATGAAAACACTTTGAAGAGGCTCTGACGTGTTTGACAGCACACCTGTACTTGTTTCATTCGTCTTGTGTTGCTGGAACACCAGGACGGTATTCTGCTCACTGCTACAGGTTTGAGTTGATGTTGGCGTGCTCTGAGACAGCAGGTCTTTGTGTTCAAACCTGCTGGAGGTCTTTCTTTTCAGGGAACGTCTTCTCTAGTCTCACATGGTGGAAGCTCAGAACCCGTCCAACTGGTCTTCTTACAACCTGAGACATGTTTTTAAGCTGCTTCTTTTTACCTCTTCCATCTAGTTCGGTGACTGATCAGAAGAAAGAATAAACCTGTTGTGACACCCTGCTTCAGACAGCTTAATCTGATTAAACAGTGAATTAAAATGAAGCTGTTGCTGTTCCCACAGCCACCGCACCAACATCTTTTGAAGGGAACTATGGGAGGATTGTCTACAGAGTCAGGGCCTTTATCGACACACCACGGTTCTCCAAGGATTACAACACAGAGAAGTCTTTCTTCCTGCTGAGACTCTTAAACCTGAACGAAGTTCCAGATATATGGGTGAGTCGTGCTGGGCCAGCTCACCTACTGGTTCTGGTGCTGTGTGTGTGTGTGTGTGTGTGTGTAGTGTTCTTTATAGACTGATCAGGTGTTGGCGTGGTGCCGTGGTCTGAGACTGGGTTTGGAAGACGAGGGCTTCTCATGCATTCTGGAAAAGCCCTGCTTGAAACTCTTGGATAAAGCCTAAAAGTCTCTTGTTGTGCATCACAGTAATAGCATTTAAAACTAAGTATATCCAACTTTTTAGGAAAAGTGTTTGAGTTTGAGAGAACATCTGATGTTTTGTTAAAAATCGTCCTGTGAAAAAGTAAATCTCTGTGTTTGGTGCTTTTGGTGTGCGTGCCGGGGCGTGCAGCAGACCTCTGAGTACAGGTGAGTTTAGCCTTCAGAGGGTCGGATGATGCGCAGCTCCCTAAATAACCGTAATTGTTGCTTGTCCATTTACAGTTTTCTGTGATTCTTTGGAGTCAAAGTTGAACCAAAAATGTGATGATTGCCCTACCCTAGCGAGACCACAGATGTCTTTATATGTACCGATCAGCCAAGCCATTATGGCGTTGTCCTAGGAGATGTCTACATATCTGGTGTGTTATTTGAGACCAGTCTCGAGCTTCAAAACTCCCTGAAGATGTTCTGAACAATCCTCCACTCACCGTTTTGTTTTTAGTGACAGGCTGGCCTGACTCGGTGCTGCTTGTTGTGGCCGTGTTCGGTTTTTGATTTGTAAACAGCTACACGATGGTTTGTTTACTGTAGGTTTTTGGTATTTAGAATGTTGTTTGTGTTTACAGGGACCCTCCTGCTCAGCAGTAACTCAGCAGTTCACCTACATGCTCGTGAAAACGGGCACAGTTGTCCTGAAGGCCCAAACAGACATGAAGGGTTATACACCTGGCCAGGTCATCCAGGTGACAGCCAGCATCCACAACCAATCAACAAAGACCACAGGTCACATGGCAGCCAGTCTAATGCAGGTGAAGCACGATTTTTATTTATTTTCATATTTAACTTTGAATGTAGAAGTTTGTTTTCATGCTCAGCTGACTGCAGACACGACCTGTAGAAAGATTCTTCATTTATCAAACCGAGATGGTTTGTCTTGTTGTCTCAGAGGACATTCCAGTCCCATAACCAATGAGGTAAGATCTTTACCTGTCCTGTTTGTCCTGACTGCTTTAACAGCAGCCTCAAAGTTAAAGTCCCATTAGTTGTCACACACACACGTTTGTGCGCGAAATTTGTTCTCCACATTTGACCCATTCCCTGGGGTGGCAGCTGTGTCTGCAGCTCACCGCTCCCCGCGCTCGGGAACCATTTGGTGGTTTAACCCCCCAATCCAACCCCTTAATGCTGAGTGTCAAGCAGGGAGGCATTGGGTCTCATTTTTTCAAAGTCTTTGGTATGACCCGACCAGGAATCGAACACTGATCTCCCAGACTCAGGGTGGAGACTCTACCACTAGGCCACTGAGCTGGTACTAGGCCGCAGCCTCCTGAGATCTTTTACAGACTTTAGACTAGGGCTATATGATGAGCTGCTGCACCGGTGAATCAAGTGTGTTGAATCAGAGAAACCACTAAAACGTGCTGGAAACAGACCTCCATGACCGGAGTTGAGCACCCCTGCTTTAGATTGTGTTTTACAGGAAACTGAAATTCACTCAAATGGATCTCGTCAGTTGGTCTCTCAACGCGATTGATAACATTTTTTCAACGATGAGAATGGGAGAAGGGGCTCCTGGATGCCCCGCCGGGACAGACCCAGTTGGACACATCATGGACTCCTGGAAACAGAAGAACTTGATTTGTTTATCTCAGCTGTCTGTGGAGGACTCTGAAGACGTGTGGATATTCGTGGTGTTGGTGTCAGGTTTCCTGCTCATTGGCCTTGGAGGCTACCTGGCTTACCGGAAAATTAACGAGCTGTCGAGGAATATTGGCCTGATCCCAGAGCTCAGAGATGGTTTGCACCGCGCTGTGAATTCACTGACTCACATAATTGTCAAGATGAATCATAAGCTTGGGACTTTGGTGGAGATTCATTCATTGGGCACAAAGATGGATACCATCATGGAGAGAGTAGATGAATCAGCACGGATTGGGATAGATTAACGTCCATTATTGGGATTTTGAGAGGTTGAGGACCAACAAACTGTAAGACAGAGAGGAAATTCTCTCTGGCCCCAAAACAATTTCTAATCGGAATCTGGCGCCCTTGAGCCTTCAAGGCTCCAACGAAAACTCCCCCCTCAGAAGATATGTGGAATGTGCCGTCGCTATGGCAACTCAACTCTGTCTCCTTTCCCAGCCTGGACGGGACTGCGGGAAGGCCGCTGAAATGTTCCAGGGTCACTGCAACCCTCCAACCCTCAATGCTCCTCCCCCTATCCACACTGAGGTGACATGCGCTGCTTATCGTGGCTGCAGGAACTGAAGTGGGGATAGTCCCAACCCACCACCCCACCTAGTGGACACTTATGTTGTGTTGTCTGAAGTCTGTTGCATTTATGTTTGAGGTGTTTTTTTGCAGAGCAAAGCTGCCCTCCTGGTGGAGGGTAACTGTGAAGTGCCTTTTTTCCCTCCACCTGAACCAATCCTCATGTAACCCTCTTATCTCTATTAAGGTAGCACGACTCAGGGTTGCGAATGACCACAGTCACCAATTCTTGTCATGTGTCTTGCCCATGTATGTCTGATCTCTGAATTGTGTGTACTGAAACTCTAATTTCCCTCTGGGATTAATAAAGTATCTTTGATTTGATTCTAATAGAGTTAGACTAGTCTTCCCCCTGCTGGTCATCAACAAGAATGCAGGCCCATTCTCAGGTGTTTGTGTGGAGACGGCTTCCCGCAGGCTGAGGGCAGAGACGTCTGTTTGGCAGGAGAAGTGATGAAGTGGATGTGCTGCTGCTCAAAAACAGTTGGCCCAGTCAGGTCTTGTTGAGCCCAGTCTGTTGATCTGCATGTTCTGTGGTGTTCTCAGAGAGTGACCTATGAGATGAAGAAGCCCATACACGATGTGAAGATGATAGCGGAGGTGGAGGGGGGTGCCGTGAAGGCAGGCCGGGAGGTGGAGTGGAAGGAGCAGATCATCATCCCCCCTCTCCCACAGTCCTCCCTGGTTGGCTGTGAGCTGATAAAGATTGAGTATTATATCAAGGTAAGCTAACTCTCATCTCTGTCTGTATGAACGGGAGTAGAAACCTTCTCATTTGGAGCAGATGGGTTTTAAGAAACGGACCTGAGTGGATAAGGTTAAAGCACCATCAGCTCATGTGTCGGCTCAATAGTGGAGGGATGATGGTTTAAGCAGCTTTTGCAGCAACAGAGCTGAGGATTGAGTCCACCATGAAGTTCTCTGTCCAGGTTCTGAAGCTTGGACCAAACCAGGTCCGAGAACAGAACTATGATCCGGACACAGCGGGAGAAAGCAACAAACCAGCTGAAAAAGAAACTTTTTAGGCAGTTTCTCCACCACCCGGGAGTGGTCGTACAAGCAAAAAAACTAACCAAAAAACTACCAGCAAGCTGTACGCTGTTGGGGTTATTAGGAGCGAACAATTAGTAAGCTTCAACTTACTTTTGGATTCTTCAATAAATTCTGTAAATATGTAAATATTTACTGATTTATTAATTAATTAAGATATTCTTAGATATACGGGGCACCATTCCCCTTTAACCGGGGAAAAATTGAATCCAAAACTCTTATCAGTCTTTCTTGAAGTTCGTAGAATCCTTGGAGCTGAGACTTCTCTTCGACACAACAAAGCTACTGGAGACGAAAATCTGAATTTTATAACGTTTAATTAACAATTTGTCAAATGAATAAACTGTGGCATAAATGAATAATAACCATGTGATATAATAAAAGGATGTATATTCAAAATAATGTTCAAGGTGTTTGTGTGGTGTGTGTGAGTGAGTGTGTGTGTGTGTGTGAGATGAATGGGTCTTTGTTTCCCCAGAGTAGGTGGGGGGAGTGAGCTGTGAGTGTGTGTGGGGCTCTTCCCCTCCCCTCGCATTCAACAGGAGACCTGGATGTGTAAAGTTTTCTACTTTCCCGAACACTTAGTGGCTTAGAATCACAGTAAAACTTAACTCAAACACTTCAAAAGTTAACAAACAACAAAAGGTCACTTGTAAATTATTTAATCTAAAAGGAGTCGGCAGCCTGGCCAGAGCTGACGACTAAAGATATTAGCGATGATCAATAAGCAGTTTATTCTTTCAAAATGACCCGGCGGACGTGTTTTGGGAACGAAAGAGGAAAACACGAAGCTACTTTTAAAGCAATAGCGCGGTTTTATTGCTTATTCTGGACTATAGAGGAAACGGGAGAAGAAAAGGAGAGAGAGAAATGAGTTTTATGATCACCAGATGAGCAGCAAGGCGTCCCCCGCTGTTATGATTTGACGGTTCTCCGTTTTCTCCGCAGTTTTCAGCGTCATCCGTCGGTTTGATGCTTTCTCCGTTGTTTGGCTCCACGAGTGTTTCTCCACGGGCTGGACACAAAGAGAACGAAGTTTCTTTTGTGCTGAGTTTGACAACTTACAGCGTCTCTGAGAGCTGGATGGAGCTCCGCTCGTTCCCAGTCAGGTCCCGATGATGGTGGAGTGGTTTCCAGCGGTTGCGTGGCTCAACTTGGGCACTTAGAGCTTCCGCGTGCTCAAGTTGTCGGAGCGTTCGACAAGCGTGTCCTTACCGCCAGGTATCCTGGGCAAAAGAACGAGGTTTCTTTGTCTCTGCTGAAGATTTATTGTCTTAGTTCGCGGGAAAAGCTCCACGGCTTCCCGCACATGCGCAGAACGTGTTTCTGGTACTAGGCGGTGACGTCATCACAATGCTTCCGTGTGCAAAGCATCATGGGAAATGAAGTTTCTTGGCGCTGATGTGATTATTTGCTTTTCAGAGCAATTTAAGCACAGTCATTTTGGAGAAAATCACTGCATAGTAATTTCCTCATGAGGTCAGACCCTCAACAACGCTAAAAAGAATACCGATCTGTGGAGAGCTAAAAGTGTGGCCAACTTAAAATAACCTTAAAATAATCTGGCAGCAGCCAGATTGCTAAGTGTAGCCCCGCCCCCTGTCGAGTCTACACATTTCCATCTGGAGTCTCTGCAGCAGAAACCATCTGAAAGAGGGGGGCTATCTGGTAGAATATTTAGAGCTGATTGGAGGACACGCGAGGTAGTGCCCGGCTGGCACTGGCTACCATATTTTGTCTTTAGCCAATCGCATTAACTCAAATGGCGTTTACCATGTGTGCCTGGAGGGCTAAGTGTGGTCCCAACCCCCTCCCTGGCCCTACTTTCTCCGCTGACACGGACGACGCACGGCAGTGAAGCGAACCACGGGGCTCCCTCCGCTGATACTGAAGAGATGGTAGCATAGCAGAGACACCCCTGTACATTTATAGGGATGTACACATTTACATGTAAGTATAAGTAAATGCACCTTTAGAATAGAAAGACACATTCTACAGAAAAATAACTGATGTTATAATATATAAAAATACATAATAGCAACATCTAAAGTACATCCAGTCTTTTAACGGACTATTTCATAACATCTTCATGTAAAACAGCTTCAGTATTAACTAACCCTTTAGTGCTCTTGGCTCAGCAGTAGCTTGTGTGTTAGCCTGGAGATGGGGAACCTTCAGGTTGTGTTTTTACCTTCTTCAGCTCCCAGCTCACCAGCCTCCTGCTGATATCACACCTCCTTTCCTTGGTTTGGCTCCATGACTTGCTGCCATGCTGGATGTGACTCTAGTTGAGCCATCAGACAGAAACTAAACATGAGAAACAGCTGTTAGTGTTTGTGTAGAGCATCCATCTTCAGTTGAGTCTGTAGCAGAAAGAGCAGAGGAGAACCCAACACATTACAGTCTATATGAGAACTATTAGAGAAACACTCATCTATTAATAACCCTAACTATTCACTAGTGCTACTGACTGCTGATGTTAGATTTTACGTACTAATTAAAACTAGTCTTTACTCGTCTGTGCTGTTTCTGACCACAGATTACACGCTAAACAGAAAAACAAGAGCTGCGTTTATATACAGATCTTTTTCTGTGTTTCTGTTCACCGTGTGCTCCACGTAAGAACTGGAGGAGCGTGTGACGTTCTTAAGCTCCTCCCACCAGGAGGTGGTGCAGACACTGTAGGACTCTCCTCTCTTGCGGCCCGCAAGTTGCGGGCTCAGAGTGAAATTCTCAACCTCCCATACTGGAGCTAGCATGTTAAGCTAAAAGCAGCTGAGAGTTTCAGACGGTCTCTAAAGCTAACTACAAGCTAGCCTAGCATTAGCAGCATGCTGCCGGTTAGCGGCGGTTCTTACAGCTCGTTTTTGCTTTCACTCAGCTAACTTTTATTTAATGTTTTACTTTTAATTCACCCTAAACACACAGCTGTAGGGTTTGAAACACCAAAGGCAAGCCTTACCTTTTACTCAGAGGTAAATACTCCGAGTGCTTTGGATCGGGGTCCTTCACCAGCTTCCAGCAGCAGCGGGCTTCTCACGGAGGTGCCTGACTTTAAATCGGTTCTACTAAAAAGGCTTATTGGCCGATGTCGATTATGGAAAAAATGTTAAATTACGGCCCGATTAATAGGCCGACTGATAAATCTGTCGACCCCTATTTAAAAGCAAGAACAGCTAGCTAACAGCAGCAGACACGGTAAAAACACTTCCTCTATGCGAGTGCATATTACTGAGTAGTAAGCGGTCCTGACCGTAAAACACCCAAGAGTGTTAGCACCAGTTATTACAATGTATTTATCAGCGTACTGTGTAGGACTCATCTCAGCTTGTTCTCTAGAATGTTCTGCTGATCCGTAAAGGGCAACAGCCATGAAACTCACGGAACAAGAGTGAGCGAGAAATTGCTCTAACCAAATGTGACTTCAGGATGTGATTTTTACTCTATCCTTGTACACATCACCTTCAAATGACTGTGTAGAAAGTTATTCACGCTATTTTCAGGCTTCATTTTGTGCGTAAGGGAGCTTAATGACTGAAGCTCCTGATGTTTGTTTCAAACATACTTTACCCTGTCATTTTATTATTAAACGTTTTAAATATTCTTAGACTTTTGCTGATGTCGTATTTTCTTATTTTATCCTAACTCAGGTGAATCTGAAGTCTCCTGATGTCTTGCTGACACTACCAGTCCACATCGGCAATGTCTCACTGGACAAAAAACGATGTTCAAAAAAAAAAGAGGCTCCTCCTACAACTGAAGAGGCAGCAGGCCCGGTCTCTACCCCAGATGCACCTACCTCCTCTATGTCCACACCATCCTCTGGGCCCGCTCCTAAACCTGCGCCTCGACCTGCCCCGCGCTCCAGGATGTCCTCCCACGGTTCCCCCAGCGCTCCTCCAGCTGAGTACCACCCAGCAGCTGAAGGAGGAAGTTTGATGAATGAAGACTTCTCCAACAAACGTCAGTCTCAGCTGGTGTCACCCAATGCCTTCAGCTATGCCCCAGGCCTCTTTTTCCCACAGAACCAACAGCCCAACAGACCTGCACCCAGTGGGCCCATAGGGGTGACCGGTCTTTACCCCTCCCTGAATGGTGCCAGCATGACGGCGGCACCAGTCAACACTGCACCTCCAGACTATGGCCTCTCGTCTTATCCCAGAGGTTAGTACCTGTTAGTTAAGGGCGTGTCTTCAGAAGGGGTGTGTTCTGGTCCAACAGGGCTGGGCCCATTGTTTTGGGATGTTGCCATTACAAAAACGGTGACTAAGCAAGCCGTATAAATACAATCCCAATATGTTCTTCACTGCTTTGTGGAGGGCCACTTATGGAGTTTATTTAGCAGGTTATGATAAAACCCTCTTGGTGAACTAGAACTTAAGGAACGTTCAGACCTTTCGTTAGCTGCAACTGCCGACCGTTTCTTTACAACAGTTTTAAATGAAACCCCGTTAGACCAGACTAACACCTGGCTTAGTAGCTGTCTGCTCTAACAGCTGACCCGGGCCAAGATTTTCTGCGTCGGATTCCAGAAATGGACATGTAGAAGCTGACTGCTGCTGTGGTTGTGATTATGAAAAGTCGTTATGGAACATGTCTGATGGTTTCTTTCTTTTCCAGAGGCTCCTCCTTCCTACATTGAGAGCTGCGACACATGAGGAGGATCAAGAGTCTGAAACCAACACCAAGTTTTCTTCTTTCTCCAGTCCGGTGTATCATTCAGATGTATTTCCAAATCCTGTCTTTTTGAAATAAGTTTTGCCCAAACTCTAGAGAGAAGCTAACCTGGTGTTAGGTGCCTTTTTTAAGCCCTGTACTTTTTTTTGCCAGTTTTAAGTTGTGTATGAACCCCCTAAGATGGCCTCTGTGACGCCACGTTAAACGGCTGTGTGTGGAACAACCGTCTCTACCCCGTAACCTTAGCATGTGTAGAGGTTTTAGTGAGGATCTAGTTATCAATATGTTTACTTTAAATGTTCCTTGGTTGGTTTGTTTGATCGGTCATTTCTCAGTGTCGTTAACAGTTTAGTAACAAAGTATTAGCGGGGTGGGTTGTTCACGTTCTGAGCATTAATCACTATACACTCCCCCTTCTGATGAATGTCTTCATTATGTACCTGAAGTTATTTAAAAGATTAAAACTATTAGTGTGAGGTAACCTTTTATTTGGCCTTTGATGGTGTACATCATCTGTTTATGGTCAGACATTTTTACATGGATGATTTCGGTTTCTTTTTACTTGTCTCTCCAACATCCAAGAAAAGCTTTTATTTTTCTGAGTATATTTTATCTGTTGCTGATTCAATAAATCATTTATTACAAAGCATGATCATTTATTTGTGTGTATTCAGATTGTTCCAACTAGAGAGGGATCACACTCCTGAGCCTTCCTGGTAAGTTCTATTCAGGGGTTCTGGAGAGGAGGGTCCACTGGATCGTCAAACCTCACTCAGGAGGAGCAGTATAGTCGTCCTGGCCGTGACAAGTTTAATAGCACAAAGTACGCTCTGGACTTCCCGGTGCATATTACGAACGCTCCGAAACATAATAAACCATAACATCCGAAGTATAAAACAATGCCACGTCAGCTCTAACGCCAGTTCGAAGCACTCCAGAGAAAGTGACGGAGTGGCCAATCCTGATCTCAACTCTAACCGAAAAGAACCAACGACAAGCTGAAAATTCGTCGCTATCTCAACAGTGGCAACAGTTCCTTTCAGAACAAATGTTGAACCATCCAGACCCAGGCTTGGGTCTCACCAGATGCCAACAAACTGTCGTGTACCCAGAAGTAACTCAAATACTGGTCTGGTTGGAACCTCTGCTTTTCCTACCGGCTCAGTTCCAGAGAGGGTCAAGCTAAGACCTCGACATTCTGGATCTACAGAGGACTTCCCGAAGGGTAGGTAGACCGACATGATGGTGTCTCATGTATTTATGGACCTCCTAATCAAAGATTGATGCGAAAACAACACCTTCAGTTCCCGTCAGATCTAATCGCTTCTTCGGATTTGCTGGTTCTGATCTACAGCACACGTCATCCATTCACCACCTCATCCATTTTAGTTACACTGTACATTTAGTTTTAAAGTCAGTCTAGTTTAATTTGTTAGTAATAAAATTCTTAACTTTTAAACTTGACTCTCTCTCTCTTCTGTTGTCTGAGTGAATACGAAGCGGTTATCTAATCCCTGCAATAAAAAGATAAAATCTTCTGGTTTAAATAACCCACGGAGCCGTAAGGCGTGGGATTCCATAGGAAATATGAAATCCACCTTAAGAAAAGAAGGAAAATAAACAGTCATTCCGTTCCCTTACACGGGTCAGAGAGGTCCGAGTTGGGCTACGGAGACCTGTGGAGTGGTTAAAAAATTTAATGTGGATTTCTGGAGCTCAGATCACCGTCAGAACCGACGACCACTGCCTGGATCACCAGGAGAGGATCCTGCGTGGCTTTTAAAAATACCAGCTGGACTGGCTCGCTGGTGTCTGGGTCGGATCCAGCTCACAGAAGCCTGCATGAGTTCCAGAACTGGATGACAGACGTCTCTCTAAGTGCTAAACTATGTTAGGTGAATGGATACTAACGGTTATGAGACAGCTGACAGACGCTCAATAGTATTAATATATTAACTGAATATATATATATATATATATATATATATATATATATAAACTGGCCAATACTATTTTAATTGTCTGGTACGTGATAGTGATTTGTACAATATTTATATATTTTATAATATATAAAATGCAGCCTGCCTAGTATAGTCCATTTATTTAATCCGGCTCTGCCTGTCTGGGTCTAGAGGCTCCTGTAAGACTATATTGGGCTCACTTCTGGCTGGCTGCTGTTCTTCCAGTTTGTCCTTCTGTGAAGGCGCTGATGTTGACGGCGTTGGCGCTACATCGTCTTCCGCCGCATCTTCCACTGCGTCTTCGGGTTGTGTCTCCTCCGGGTCTGACTTGGGCCCGGTCTCTGGCTCTGCTGACTCGAGCATGTTCACAGCTGTCAGACGGCTGCCCGAGAAGCCCGACAGAAACTTCTGTAAAGCCCCCCGCTGTCTCTTCTTTAGTTCCTCTTCATTTATTTTTTACGTTTTGCCACACCCGAAAGCATTGTGAAAGTTAGGCTACTCAAAAACACCTGCTAGCTTTGTTGTGTCCCGCTCTGACTCTGACCGCTTCTCTGACGTCCTTAATTGGGTGGCGCCTTAACCCTCTGGGGTCCAGGGTGTAATTTGCCGTGAGTTTTCCTTTGTATTTCCAAAATAAAAACCATAACCACAGCCTTTTGTGGTATCAATTTTTTCAGCACAATCTGGACTTTATGAATCTATACTTATTTTTTATATTTGGACATAAAGGGGTTGCATATTAGACCTTAAATCACTCAAAAACATAAAATCTGAATAGGAAAAAAGTTGTTTATTTTACTGTGAAACCAACAAACATTTATGACGAATGTTTTTTATCATTTAGAATGGTAATCTAGACTGTACATTTATAAAAATTATGACTAAATATAGCAAATAACTAATTTAAAAAAATTATTAGCCCTCTGGGATCCAGAGTGCAAATCACCGTTTTTGACTCATTTTGGTTTTTCTTTTGTATTTTCTAATAAAAACAATAAATATTGCCTTATGGGGTATCATTAATTTCAGGACAACCTGGACTATCTGAATTTATACTTATTTTATTAATTTGGCAATAATATACATGGAATTTGGAGAGAGAAGAGTGGCTCCGTCTCACGCCGAGATCTGACAGCTGCGCGGCGCCGCCCACTCCTCTTGTTGGATCTCCGAGGAGCTGGATCTCTGCCTTCATCCTCTACCTCATCATGACCCAACTCTTCTATGAGGAAGGATGGATCTGCCACATCATCATCAACATCCTCGCTGTTTGCCTCAGACTCCGCCTGCGAGTCTCCGTCCACTTCCTCTGCTTCCAGTTCAAAAAACAGCCGTACTATCTGACCTGCCTGGTGGACATTTATCCTTCTCATCATCCTTTATTTAAGCCTAATAAAAGCCTACTAAACTGCAGAGACAAGATATCTGTCCGGATCGCTCCAAAATACAAAGTTTACCGTCAATATCTGTCTAATTGTTTGTTGTTACTCCGTTCGCGCCACTCCGTTCCCCGCGAAGCGGCTCCTTTTTGCGCACATCTCTTTACTCGTGCAGCCTTCCTTTCTCTCTCTCAGCTACATAATGATGCTTTTTATCAACTGAATATGTGAGACTTCCACCAACAGCAAAAGGATCTCGTGTTTTTGTGGGTTTTTAATGTTCACAAGCACATTCCCGCTCACAGATTACTAAACGCTGTTTTGACAAGTTATCAGATTGTCTAAAAATAGGTCATTTTTTAATTTAGTATAACTCCGCTTTTACGTTGCCTATTAACAAAATTTAAAAACTGGGGTGTAGTTTATAATCTCCTTTTTAAAGCTGAATTGAAATCGAAACTCAGGGAGGCGGAGTCTTGCTGCTACAGCGTCCCAAATCAGACCTGTTCAAAAGACGCGTATACTTGTCCGTAATGTGACGTAGCCAATGAAACGGTCTATGGTTAAGATAAACATTGTCACTATTTTTAGTTAATTGATAAATTATTGAAACAAATTGTAGATAGGAGTCCTAGCTACAAATTCTATCATAGGACATTTGTACATTTAATTTTTAATTTATTTATTTATAATTTTGTTCCTCTGTCTGGGCCCCATCCAGCCAATCAGGCCCTAGGCACGTGCCTACTTTGCCTTTGCGTTAATCCGGCTCTGGGGGTTGGGGGGAGTTCTACACCCTACTTTAACAATCTCAAAATTCCCACGACGCATTTCTTATGAATGTTACTATCAGTGCATTTATAGGCCCCTGTTGGGTTGTGCTTTAAGAATAGCAAAGGAGGATAAGGCAAAAATTTTTCTTTATTATTAAAAATAAAGTAAAAATTCCCATCCGGGTACAGGAAGGGGTAATTCCACCTCCATGGGTACTTCTCAGAAAAAAGACACACCCAGTAAGCACTGTTAGGTAAAATTGATTTTCACATATGGATTCTTTCAAACAGAGTTCATCACTCTTATTTGCATTTAAACTGGTGCAGGAAGGTTGACCTCGCTTCAGTACTTCTTATTATGATTAGAAGGTCCTGGAAAGGCTAAAAGCCAAACCAATGTGTTGTTTATGACTGCCTGCAGGCCCTGCTCCAAAGTTGAATGTCTGTGAAGAATTTGTGTGTGCGCTTATCTCTAACTTGGTGTGTGTGTTCCCAAATAAAGTCTCTCTCCAGTCTTGTTTGAGTTGTGAGGAAATTGGCTTTTGACTCTGGTGTGTGTTATTCTCTCACCCTTTGCAAAGTATTCTGGTGCTGTTTGTTGTGGGTTGTTTACAATTTACCAAATTATCATCTAATCCCTCTGTGTGTCCTGAACTTTCTTTGAGGTAATACGAGATCGATAAAAATACCCAACATTTTGGTGCCGAAACCCGGGAGAGCAGAGCCCTTCAGTGGGAGTTCACCTTCGGAGAGCCGCATGGCGCCACTTCCTCATCAAAGCGCGGGGAGCTGAATTGCTCCATCGGCTGGCTGTTTAGCTCCACAGGCGGACTTTTGCCAATGGCTCTCGCTCACCGGACTCAGGACGCCACGCAGAGGGAGAGTGAGTACCTAAATTTAATTGCACCCTTTTTCTAATAACTGTTTGGCAGTGTGGTTTTACGCTGGTGGTGATTTTGCCATCCACGCACGAAAGACGTTTTGGGCCCTGGCTGAGGGCTGGACTGATAGCCGCCGGACCTTGTCCTGGACTCCGTTTGCCTCAGTTAAACCAGCGCTGAGTTAAAGAGGCCAACCGCAGTTTGGCACAGGCATACACTTCTTTTGCAGCTGCCGACAGGTGGGATTGGACAGATTCTGTTTAACTCTGTCTGCATGGAAGTGCATTGGGAGTTTTTCACAGAGAGTGTTTGCCCCACGCAGCGCCAACACGGCTTGGGTTTAATGAACACGTATGTGAAATGTACAATGGCTTACATAGATAATGGCAACCTGCCTGCGGCACTGCAATGAGAAGTGATGTGCAGCCACGTTAAAGCGGATAGGTGAACGTGAGAGAGGTTGTAATCAGTCTGTGTCTGCGCTCACAGACACCCCACGACAAATAGAGAGAGAGAGAGAGAGGGTCGTAATCATCAACATTAATATATGGACAATGGGTTTCCATAGACTCCAATAACAAGTTTTTATGCTAAAACGGGAGGTGGCTACCACCACCATTTTGACCATGTCATAGGTTCCGTCCAGCCCAGA